ATTTGGATTTGACCCTCATTACCTGTATTTTACATTTTTGCAAGGGTTTCTGCTGCTTTGGAAGTTATAGTCACATGGTACACATTAGATTGGAAGTATCAGCTCAGATTACGTCCTGGTTAGGTACGGTCATGTTTACTTACTTTTCTTTGGTAAAAAACTAAAATGTTCCCTTTCTGTTTATTCCATTAGAAGATGTTTAAGTATACTCCTCAAATAAGAAGGCCTTGCTGTTCCACTTGGCTGTGAGTAACTTCAAAGCCTCTGGAGATGATCATGTCTGCTCTTGAAGCTTCTCCTTGCAGACTAGTTATATAAAACAAATCTGCTTCTTCTCTGGACACACTTGGAAGTCTCTCCCCTCTTTTGTTCCCACTTGATTTAAAAACCTGCTCAGCTGCTCCAGATCAGAGAAAACATTAATTTTCTAGCCAAAGATTTTTACACTGACCAAGCTGATTTGATGGTTCAATTTATCTTCCAAAATTTGAAATCAAGTTTTATACTTCATCAGTGATTTCCACCAATATGATGTGAATATTCTACTTTTCCAAAGAGAAACATATGAACACAGGCATAGCTATTTAGAAATATCTTGTTGGAACATTAATTGTAAAGTGTAATATAGTGAATATCAATGCAGTGGGGAACAACCCATTCCAAAAGAAATAAGCCTAATTTTCTAACCCATTGGTGTGAAGTGACTGGACTTGGATCAGGTGCAAAGGAAACCAACTGAGGACCTCAGGTGCCAGACAAAGGGGAAATTTGGATAATCCTGCCCATCTTGAGAGCACATCCATTCATGTGAGACCCAAGTAAACGGGAGACTTGTACCAGAAACAGACTGATTTTCCTGTCAGTTTCTTCCTACTGCTTTAGTAGCTCTGGCTGCAATGCCCTGTTTACACAAGTGGAACCTCAAGCAACACCTTCCAGACTCTACCTTCTAGAAGTTACTGTCTTTACATCAGGTGAACTAACTTTAGTTAAAATAGTCACAGAATTGAAGTGCAGTTATATTTTTTAAATATATGAATTATTGATTCATTTCTCCCTTCTTTCTACGTGCATAAACCTATCCTAGTCATCTGAATTAACAATCTAAAATACATTTTCTAAATGTGCCTACAACCCTTCCCCCTTTATCTTTCCACAACCTTCAGCCAAAGAAAGTAATTTCTCAGGAACTGTTAGGAAGCCAAAAAGTATGGTAGATGCATTAGGTTTGTGTCAGATCCAGCATGCAAGGGAAATAACACTTTCAGGGAAATTTTAAGAATCAGACCTCAGAGGATGAAATCTTTCGATTGGCACCTTAATAGAGAGCACAATGAGGAGGAAGGATTGTAAATCACTCATTCCCCAGTTAGATCTGGTCTTCCTTGGTGGTAAAATAAAACTATGCTCCGACATAGCAGTAAAATTCATATTCACTAATCATTTAGGTTCTTTATTACTGATTAAGTTTTCTAATGAAGAAAGTTCAGTAGTAGCCCTAATGAAGAAACTTCAAATTTGATTAATGAAGAGAGTCTGAGCCTCCTTCATAGTACTCTTTTTGTTCAGCATTGCAAGACTCTTGGCAAACTGAACTTGCAGTAGAGTTTCAGCCTGCTTGTTTGAACAGCAAGAAAGAGATCAGTCTGGAAGCTCCAGAGACATGTGAGGAAGTCGTGGGCAGTGCGGCTCATGGGAAAGTGTGGCAGATCTGGCTGATGCCCCTCCCCTGACTATAACTGACTGAGTGAGCCTTTCACTTTGTTCCATGGTCCCAGTTTCCTTCTCCATAAAATGGAACACCAAACTAGAGATCTTTTCCAAGTAAAGGCTCTATGGTTCCAGAAGTAGGACAATTCGAAGATGCTCATCACACAGAAACTGGTTCACCTCCCAAGAAGATGCCAGCCATAATATCAGAATAAAAACAGTATGGAAGAAATGAGTGTTTAGGAGCTGGATATGTAATTCAATGGTGGAGTACTTGCTTAGCTATGCACGTCTTATCTTCAGCACCAAATATAAAGGAAAATGAAACATAAGAAAAGGAAAGCAAAGAAGGGGATGAAAAGGAAAGGGGACAGGGAAGGAAAGAAAGGAAATGAGAGGAAAGAAAGGACATGATGGGAAGGAAGGAAAAGGAAAGAGTGCTTGGAGCACACTTTCCCTATTACAGTTTGGATCACAGTTTTCCCCCAGTGGCATTCAATTGTTCAGAGGTGGGGCTCGGGAAAGTGTTTGCAGGGTGAGGCTGCTAACTTCATCAATAGACTGAATTGAATGTGCCGGTATGAGGCAGAGCATCATAGAAGGAAGTCACAGTGCGTGACTCTGAAGTAGTCTCCTCTCTGGCTCTTTCTCTTTGCATTTTGGCTGTCATGAAGTGCAGCCCTCCTCTGCCAGGCCCTCTGCCACAATATATCTGCCTCTCCACAGGCACAAAATCAATGGGCCCACAGATCATAGCCTGAAACCTCTAAAGCCACCAGCAAAAAAAAAAAAAAAAAAAAAAAAAAAAAAAAGAAAGAAAGAAAAGAAAAAAAAAACCCTTATTTAGGCTGTTTATGTCAGATATTTTTGTCCTAGTGACATTCCCTTTCCCACAGCCAGCGCGTGTCCCTAAATTTTCTATTTCCATGTATCAATGCCTGGCCATAAGAGAGATAGACACACAGACAGTGTGAAGGGCCAGTTACCTTCAGTTTAAATCATAGTAAGACTCACTTGAAAACATTGGTGGCATAAGAAGGTTTTGTTGTTGTTTTGTTTTGTTTTTTAAGTCAGGAAAAAAAAGTCACATGGACTTAATTTCAAATTTCTTCTACTCTCCTTTATACTTTCATGGGTAAGACTATGATTCCCCTTGAATTAGCATGTTATTTGCAGCTGATGTTCCAATGCTTCAGATACTTGTTTATCAGGAAAAACCTGAGGTAAACATCATCCGAACTGGTGTGTGTGCATGCATGTGTGTGTGTGTGTCTGTGTATGTGTGTGTGTGTGTGTGTGTGTGTGTGTGTGTGTGTGTGACAGAGGTAGTAAGGAGAGGGGATTCACAACAGTTCTTTAGGTAAGCTGCAGAAAAGCAAGGGTTCTTGTCAGCTTTGTTCCCTACTGTACCTCCATACTTAAGAGTGCTGGCTGATACTGAATAAAGATCAGTAATATTTATTGAGAAATAAGTTAATATATTGAAAATAATCCTGCTACTCGTGACTGTTAGCAATTGATTGTATGAAAAAATTTACACAATTTCTTCCTTTGAAATGACTAAGTGAACAGTAAAAGAAATCACAAAAACAGACAATTTCAGTCACATTAAGAATGAAATAAACTAAAAAAACAAAAACGAAAGAAATAAACTTTTTAAAATGATATTTGAAGCCTAAGTTTCCTTAGTAATCTTTTCCTTCATGATAAAAATATGATACAAGATTAGAAAAATGACTTAGAATAAGATTTCTGGAACACGGTCTATCTGGAAGACAGACTGCTCAAGACAAAAACCACTGGGCCATGAAGAGACTCTCGAGAAATTTTTAGCACATTATCTGTGGTTATTTTCTACTAAGCACAGCACAAAGTGAACATGGAAAGCTTATACTTCCCTTTCTTGCATGGGGTAAAGAAAGATCCATGTGTTTCAGGCGAGGCTGGGATTGGAAGTTGAGGACGGGCAATGAGTGTTTCGAAGGGCATCTGGAAAGGCAGACCTGGGCAGCAGAGAGTTGTATTTGTCTTTCTCCCTGAACAAGTACGCGGTGTGCGTTTCCTCTGTATTCTTTATTTTTCCTTTTTTCCTCCTTTTCCCCATGTAGCACAGGACTAAGGATGAGACCTGCAGACACCAGCCTTGAGAAGTTTTATGCACAGAGGAAAGTAAGGCAGATTGCCCTGAAGACATGGCTGACTAAGCAGGGTCCCTCTGTGAAGCCTTCCACCTCCACCCAGTGCTGGCTGATCTTCAGTGGGACAGTTCCAGGGCATTTGCTGCAGGGCTGTGCAAGACCAGCCCTAGGTAAGTGCAGTGGAGCCAGAACTCCATCCTGGCCCTGAACAGCTTCTTCAGTGAGCGTTCTAACTCTTTTCTCCCTCAAGACCAACACCAACACCAACACCAAGGTGCCCACCTCAAGAAAATCGGCTTCCTCTCACACCAGGAACTCAATCTTGCAGCTGTCCTCTTCTCCTGATTCATTAGAAAAAAATCCATCCAGATATCTTCTACTAGTTATGAGATGTGATTACAAAATACAACAAAAGTTTAAATTCTAAAAATGTATTACAGTAAGAGACATCTTTCTATGAATCCCCTTCACTTCAAACACACTTACCCACTTTCTGAAGCAGTTCTGCAAGTCATTTTACTTAAGTGTCATTAGTTGCACTGGAGTAGCTGCCTTAATTCCTGAATCAACTCAAAACATTGAACTTTCAGGGTCATTTTGAGTTGGGGGAAGAAGCAGTTGTCACATGGTTCCAGATTTGGTGAGTAAGGTGGATGAGAAGACACCATAATATTTCTGTTGGAGGCACTTGCTAGCACATTCACTGTATTTTTGATCATAACTTGTAAAGACACTGATGAAAGAAGACTTCCAGAACCTCTTCAGAGAGGTAGCAAGAATGATGGGGTAAGTGTTTTCAAAGTGAGAGGGAATATTTTGAAGGGATCTAATGTAATGTATCTTTTACAGTAACACTTTTTAAACATACAGAATACAGCTTGATCATACCTCTTATGTGTTCATGGAGTTGCAGTAATTTTCCCATGAGAATATGATAGTTAACAGATATCTGCAACCTAAAGGGCACATGATGTTTACCTCAGAAACATTCTCACCTCTAGTATGTGGGGAGGTGATGTACCTGTGTAGTACGTTGGATGGCAGCAGTCTTCGATTCATCCAAATTCACAAGAAAATAAACAAACCCAAAAATTTCATTTAATTTTCACAAAATGATGAAGTAGATTTTTATTTCTGATGAGATCAGGCAAGTTCAGGATGGTGTGACCATAGACAAGATTTTTATTTCTAATAAACGAAAATTCAGAAAGGTTAAGGAATTTCCGCAGAGGTTTTGCTATACTGGAACTTTTTCACGTGAATACTCAGAAATACTAATTTTGAAAACAGATGCGGAATATTTTTGCATATAACATTAGAACATAAGACCATTTTTACCTAAAATAACAGACACTTTTATTCCAGAAAGACCTGAGCTTGAATCCCAGATAACTAATTCTTAGGCTAAGATAAGGTCTTCAAGCATTCTGAGGACCTCTTGATTACAGACATTGTTTTAGGCACTTTTCCACTGCTGGGACAGAACCTCTGACAGGCACACCTTAAAGGAGAAAAGCCTTATTTTGCTCACTGTTCCTGAGGTTTTGTCCATGTGTCACCTGCTTCCAAAGAGAGCCACCATGGTGTAATGGCATGGCAGAGAAAGCTCCTCACTTCATATCTGCAGGATCAGAGAAAAGGGGCATCAGAGAGAAAAGAAAGGGTGAGGGACAGGACACACCCGCACTGACATACTTCCTCCTCTGACTGGGCCCCTCTCCCAACAAGCCCATTCGGCTCTGAACCCTAAGTGGATCAGTTGGTCTTGGTGAGGTCAGGGCCTCACAATCCAACCACTTCCCTAAACCCAGCCACTGAGCGCTGATGCACGGGAGACCCAGACTTCAATGTGTGAGTCTTCAGGGATCCTTCACATTTAAACTGCAGCAGATGTTTCAGTGAAGTGATGGACTTTGTACCAACAGGTGTTATCCTTGTTTAATGTCTTACATTTTTGAAAAGTAGAAAAATATCTTATTCTTTAGGAAGTTATACTTAGATATTTCAAAATTAATGAAAGGTTCTTAAGGCCTTCTGATAGTATTTAGGTTTTAAAATATAAACCAATTTAACAATACAGTAATTTTAAAACTCTCTCTTGGAAATCTACAACATAAAAGCCTTCTGCTAGAAAAAATTACACTGTTCGATATTGAGAATTTTCTCCCAGTTACAGAGGTAACTTTGTAAGTACTTAGGTATAATGCAAACCCAGAGGAAATGTGACAGAGATTCTGACTACTCTAACATGTAATCTCGTCTTCCCATTTCTGGAAGGAACTATGTAAGACAGAGGGCACCGAAACATGTGCCTAAAGCTTTATCTCTTTCCCTGGTTCTCCTCAAGTGGCATCAATTTCTGTAATTGCCTGATAACTTAGGACTTCTGACAGTGTATAAAATTCACTATCTAAGGAGATTAATTATTTAAATGAAGATAATAATTCCCTCTCAAATACTTTATAAATCCAAAAAGTCACTCCGCTTAACACATATTTAAGATTTGCTCTGTGCCCAGTTCTAGCTGCACGTTAGAAAAGATCTGAACAGTGCATGGGGCCAACTTTGGGGAATTAAAGTATGACGGGAGAGTCAGCTCAACTCACAGTGTAATCAGCTGGGAGTGGGAGTAGGAGGACAGAGGAAGGACCACTGATTCTGCCTGGGGCACTTGAAAAACACTTTAGAGAAAAACAACAGTGGATTTGAGACTTCAAGAATATACACAGGATGGCAGAAAAGTATAATTCATACATAGAGGAAAACATGAGCAAAAGGGAAGCATAAATGTGAATGATGTTTTGAGAAGAAGGAAGTTTCTGGTTTGACACAGTGAATATAAGAACTAAGAGTTTACACAGCCGAACTGCAGATGACCACCTGGGGAGAAAACACCAGACCTAGTTGCCCAAAATAAATGCTGCTGAAATGGTATCTATGGGATTTTAAAAAGCACAGGAAGGAGGTTATAGAAGCCTGTTGTTACAATTGCATTGGCTGACAGAAATAGCCAGGCTGTTGACTGGTCACTGTTTAGTTATACTATTAGAAATTTTGCTAAGCAAGGAAAGGCTGGTACTAGGGTTGTTATCTTTATGCAATGCTAGGTCCCAATGACCTAGGTGACTACAATTTCATTTTTCATGTTTCCTCCTAAAGAGGAATAAAAATTGTGTGACCTCATTCTTGTGATGTTTGAAGTCTTTCCTGAGACTGAGCCACAGAAAACACGAGAAGCGCCATTGTGCTGCGCAGAAGGATGGCTCCCCATTTGTGTTGCTATGCTGATACCAGAAACCTTTGACTAGGATACGTTTCACAGCAGAAAGGAATTAGGCTGCCAATCAGGCAACCTACATGTAGGGAAACTGAGTAGGACTAATACAACCAGAGGAGCCTTACAAGTAGAAGAGGGAGGGAGATGAGGTCATAGTGATGTAATGCAAGGACAACTTAACGTGCACTACTGGCTTCAAGGCGGAGGAAAGGACCACAGACCAAAGGTAAAGTTGGCCTCTAGCAGAGGAAAAAATCAAGGGAACAGAGGAATATTATTCATCCATAAAGAATAATAAAATCATGACATTTGAAGGAAAATGGATCTTGAGAACAAAATGTTAAATAAAGTAAATCAGATGTGGAAAGTTAAATATCACACGGTTTCTCTTATATGAGAAACCCACAACTTGAATAACTAAAGGGGTAAATGCACGGGAGATGGTAAGAAACAGAGAGGAACTTTTTGGAGCCGGGGTAGGGGATCCTGGGAAGGGAAAAGACCAAGATATGACAGATATATTTACCATATCCCCCAAGAGAACGTGAGTATTATGTTCTGTGAGCATATACTAATAGTTCTGTTGTGAACCATAGAATTTGTGGTAACTTGTTATAACAACTATAGGAGATGAATGCAGAGGTAAAGTTAGAGGAATACAGGAGTCAGATTAGAAGAATTTAGGAGCAACCCAGAAATATTTGGACTTTGTTCTAAGTGTAAAATGGCATGAAAAGAATCACAGAATTGGTTCTCTGCTTTGGGTAGAAATTTTACTGTACAAGAGTGAGGCTGTGGGAAGGAAGCTATGCAGGAGGCTGGTGCAGCGCAAGTGAGACATGCTTAGCTATGGAGGTAGAAACAGAGCCGAAGCTGTCACAACAGCACAGGACGCTGAGACAGGGCCACAGCTCTCAAAGGCCCTGGAGCTACATGTAGAAGTACAACCTTGGCAGCCAAAGTGAGGGCCCATTTAAGCCCATGTCTCTCAAAGCCCAGAAATTAAAACAAATTTAGTGTCAGTTTCTCCAGAATGCTATCCAACTAGAGCTAGCCTCTTCAAGTTTTATTTATACTTTTTTGATATTTGTCTTATTCATTTATTATCATGTTTTAAAAATTACTCCCACTCTGGCTGGGGGGCAGGATAGGCCCTCCATGTGCCCACACGCTGAGTGAGCGAGTGCTCCAAACGCTGCTGGTCCCACGGTTCGAGTCCATGCTTTGCTCACACTGCCACAGTTCCCAGCTGAAACTTGCAGAGAGAGCCATGTATTTCCCATCTAATTCCTGAAGGCAGAGCGGGCGACCCAGGACCCTGCTGCCATTACAGACTGAGTCTCTGCCATCCCTGCACCAGTGGTAGAGAGGAGGTCCTCACTCAGAAGCCCCAGGGAATTCTCTGGCTGGGGGGGGGGGCGTGTAGAGCCACTCTCTGCACCCACACACCAAGTGAGCAAGTGCTCCAAGAGTTGCTGGTCCCGTGGATCGAGTCTGTGATTTTCTTACACTGCCACGATTCCCAGCTGAAACAGGTGGAAAGACACAGGTATTTCCCATTTACTTCCTGAGGGCGGAGCGGGCAACCCAGGACCCTGCTGTCATTACAGACTGAGTTTCTGCACTCTGGGCACCTGCAGCAGACAAGAGGTCCTCACTCAGAAGCTCCAGGGACTTCTCTAGCTGGGGGTGGTACCTGTGGCCTCTCCCTGCACGTGCCCTGCGCCGAGTGAGCAAGTGCTCCAAGAGCTGCTGGTTCTGCAGTTTGAGACCCTGCTTTACTTTCACTCAGAGCCTCCAGGGGGTCACAGGCATGGGGCAGTCTGTGACTGCTACACGACAGGCCAGCATCTGGTTCTTGTATGTGTCCTGAACTGACTGGAGACACAGAATCAGGTGGTTCACAAACTATCGACCCTGCAGGTTGTGTCTGGGTTTTGTCTGCACCCTGAACTGCCTGGGGACATAGGTACACTGGACCAGGATTGTCACACCACTGCAACCCGAGTCGGGACCGTGCACATGCCCTGAACTGCAAAGGGAGGCTGGATCAGACAGTTGGCCATCAATGGACACGAATGCCCATGTCTGAGACCGGGGATAACTAGATACAAATCAACAACTGCCAGAAAACCCAAGACTAAGTAGCATGTCTCAGAGGTCATTCAGGGGCAAACTTGACCAAGAGGAAAACTAGGGACATTAGTGGCCTTTGCTGTGCAGCTACTGAGGAAGGAAACTGAGCTTTTTCATCCAGCAGCAAACATGACAAAATGAAGGACTAAAACACAATCCCAGAACTCCACCCCACTCAGAACAAGTCCAGGAGACATTGACATAGGAGAACTTGGTAAGTACATGCCTGAAATAGCTGAAATGATTGCAATGGAAGTAAAGAAACAACTCCATAAGGCCATAGAAGAGATGAGATCAGAAATAATCTTTCAGGCAAAAAATGAAATGACAATAATAATGAAGGAACTGCTCAAAAAGTCTGAAGAAGAAACATATCAGAAAATAGAAGGACAAAGGCAAGGGACAGAAATGTTTAATGAAAAATATAGAAAGGACTTAGAATGCATGAACCAGATTCAAAGAGACTTCCAGGAAAACAAAGCTGCCTTTGAAAGCTCCAAAACGGCTTGAATGAAGCTGAAGATAGAATCTCAGACCTTGAAGACAGCATGGCAGCTAGCGACCATGAAAGAAAGGATCTCTTAAAATCAACAAGGATCCAGGAAAAGTCAATTCAACAGCTGCAAGATGAGGCAAAGAGGAATAATGTATGACTTATAGGAGTCAATGAAACAGCAGGAGGCAACACAAATGACATAAAAAGAATATTTGCAGAAATAATAGCAGAAAATTTCCCAAGCATGGAAACAGAACCTGATATACAGGTAAATGAGTTATATAGAACACCAAAGAACCACAACCAAAATAAAACTACACCCAGATATATAATAGTCAAGTGCCCAGATCTCCAGCAAAATAACAGAATATTAAAAGCTGCTAGAGAAAAGAAACAGATTACCTATAAAGGAAAGCCCATCAGAATCATGGCAGACTTCTCAGCACAAACCATCCAATGCACAAGAGCTTTGAGCAAAGTATTACAGGTCCTCAGACAGAACAGTTTCCAACCAAGACTGATGTACCCTGCCAAACTATCCCTCAAATTCAATGGAGAAATAAAATATTTTCACGACAAAGAACAATTGAAGAACTTCATGAGTGCCAAGCCAGCATTACAAAAACTACTAAATGATATTCTAGACAGAGAAAAATCTGACCGTAATTTCAAGAACAGCAGTAGAAATGAAACGTCAAGAAGAGCAAGCAAG